TATCGGAGAACTGTCTCCCCCATCTTATTTTCCTCTCTAGGGCTGGAATTAGAGTTGTGCACCATTGGGATTAAAGGTGCATGTTATTGTGGCTACTGGGATGAAAGAATTGTGTTATAATCACCTTGTCTATAAAACTGAAGAGTAGGACTCTTTTACTTTCAGATCTTCAGGCAGTCTTTATTTACCAAAATACATTTGAAATGCCACTATAGGTACAGATTCTTTTCAGAACCTTTTGTTCATACTATTAACTACTATTTAAAATACCAACCAGACATTTATAAAACTTAAGTGGCAACTTGATCAAATGATACCTTTTAAAAATATTTTTATTTTTATAAAGCATGCTAAATGCATTCATGTTTTACAGTTTTGAGCAGATTTAATTTGTTAAAATTTTTTGCCGAGTGCTATTATAACAGCCATCTTCTGGAACTTGGAAACAGTCGTATTACATAGAACTCAACATTACATACTAATGGCATTCATTAGAATAAAAGTTTGTGTATATTATGACTTTCAATACTAGCCTGGTAACTTTGGCCCTTTCTCAGCATGCAACTTTGGTGTCTAACTGAGGTCTGAGGACTACCTCCTGAGGTGCACTTTATTAACCTGAAAGTTTTGTAAATAGTTGTACATGTAGGTCCCGAAAATTGTGAGGAACTGTCAATCTAATGTGCACTGTATGCCCTCCTAATCTTCTTACACTTAGTGCTAAGTTTAAAACAACCAGAAATTCCAATCCAGTACCCTCTGAATGAAACTAGTGCTTAAGGAAGAGTCTGGAAAGTGTTACAGTAGCTTCGTATCAAACTGGAGACAGTTTGACTCCATTCCCCATCAGTTGGGCCAGAGAACTTAAGAGTGCTGCCCTTTAAGTTAGCATATGGACAAACATTGAAATTCATTTGGAAAGGGACCTGCTTTTTCCAGCATGTTGCTGCAATCTAATTTTTCCACGGTGTGATGCTGCCAACGGGTTTTGCCATGTAAAGTAGCATGTGTAAGGCTGGTGACACAGGTGAGTAAAAAGAATATAAAGTCCAAGTAAGATTCTTCTAAAGTCCACTGTAAGAGCAGCGGCAGGAAAGTTCTTAGAAAAAGGGTTGTGCCTCTATGAGGGGGTGAGATTTCTTCTTACAACAAGAAAGGGTGAACTTATATTTTTGTCCTATCATCTGCAAGAAGTCTTATTCTGGATAGGTAGGGGAGAACCCCACTATTCTGTTAATTTTTAATTCTTTTTGCCTCAAGTTGTCTTTCTTGAAGTGGGAGGATTGAGAAGTGCACCATTGGTCAGGTGAGTTAGGCTCTAAAGGGATTCACCGGGGTGAGGCTCTAAGCAGCAGTGGCCTGCTTGCTAAAGTGAAGAAACTTGGGTTTTGATTTAGCCTTTTATCTCTATATAGTTTTGGTAATCTTGCTAACAGATATTCGCCTTGGGTGAAAATCAGAGTTCTCATTCAGAGGGTTCCAAGACATTGGATCATTTCACTGTCAGCTGCTGGACTTAGTGACTCACGATCCCTGTTGAAGTAGAAACCACTTTACTTATGACCCATTTTATTTAAGAACTTCATGCCTCCCACTATACTTAAGATGTAAGATGAGTCTATGTTGGGTATTTGGCCAATATTAACAGTGCTGTGCCAGAAATTACCTAGCATAAAAGTGTAGGCAGAAATGACAGTAAATCACACTAACATTAAAATCAAATTTATCAAAGTGAAACAAGAAAACATATTAGGAAGAAGAGAAAAAAATCTACTACAGACATTTAAAATAAATAGAAATTACTCACAGCTGATGACAGTAGTAACTAGGGATGGTCGGTGAATAAATCCATTCTCAGATAAGTCCTGGAAATGAAGCTGAGGATTTGCCTGGAGTTTCCAAGGGTCCCAGTGAGTTTAGTTTCCCTCATTAAGTTAAGCTACAATCCTGGCTACCGTCTCTTTGGGAATGGGTTATATTACATCTAAAGATAATCAAACGCTTATTGCTTAGCCTTGTCTTTGACTTCAATAGTCAGAACCTCTTCCCCGGTCTCAGTAGCAGGAGCCATGCGAATGATGAGTGATTGACAGGCGGGTCCCCTGGGGACAACTCCCTTTTTAATCCCCTGGGGCCTTTCCTCTGCTGTAGTAGAACTTCCTCTGCAGTTGGACCTGTCCAGTGCCTTTTCTGCTGGCTCTGTTCCTTCATCTTCATATTCTTTTCCTTTCTGCTCTCTTCCTTTTGAATTTTCACCTTTTTTCTAGAAGAAGCCATGATAAAGAACTAGTGTTGAAACCATAATTGATGTGTTAGCGTCACCACCAAACGCCATCTGCGATGCGGTGAATGTAGGAATCATGTCAGTCTGCCACACACTGTCATTTCTTACTGTTTCCATGATTGATTGTTTGTGTATTATGTTTATTTTATGGAGATGATATTTTAAATTTTAAGTGTTTATTTTTAATAAAAATATACAATTTGAAATAGAAGGCCTGGCTTCCTACCCAGTCAGGCAGAACCTCATGAAAAAACTCGCATCTCTTTTCTTGTTTAATCTTCTCAGTCTCGTAAGTATTTGAGCTATTTTTCTTAATTTATGTGTGTGTGTGTGTGTGTGTGTGTGTGTGTATGTGTGTAGTTCATATGCTACAGCATCCATGTGGAAATTGAGGACAACTTGAGGGTATTGATTCTTTTTTTTTTTAATTTTTTACAGGCTGTAATGTGGTCCATTGAGTCACATTTTCCTTCAAGTCCATCTTTTTATATATATATATATATTCTATTTTATATATATTAAAATATATTCTATTTTATATATATATTCTAATTTTAAACCATGGTCATTCAATAGGATGCATGGAGTTGTTCCAATTTTTTTGTATCTATTGAGGTTTCCTTTGATACCTAGTCAATTTTTTAGAAGGTTCCATGAGGTTCTGAGAAGAAGATACATTCTTTTATGTTTAGATGGAATGTTCTACAGATGTCTATTAAGCCCATTTGATTTATAACATCCATTGGTTCCCTTATTTCTCTGTTAAGACTCTGACAGACCCATCCAGTGGTGAGAGTGGGGTGTTGAAGGCTGCCACTATTAGTGTATGGGGTTTAATATATGATTTAAGCTTTAGTAGTGTTTCTTTTACATATGAGTGTGCCCAGGTATTTGGTTCATAGATCTTCAGTATTGAGATTTCCTCTTGATTGATTTTCCCTTTGACCAATATGAAATATCCTTCTTTGTCTCTTCTGACCAACACAGACATGCAAACATCTCTGACTTGGGCCTACTCCCTCAGCATTCAGCATTCACTCCCTCATACCTGCTCCTGTGGAGGTCGCTGACTCAGACCTGCTCTAGTGGAGTTTCTTGTCTTGGCTCTGCTCTCAGGAGGTCACTTGCTTGGGCCTGTTCCTGTGGATGTCCCTTGCTCAGGCCTCCGCCCACGGAGGTCTCTGCCTCGACCTGGTCTTGCAGAGTTCTCTAGCTTGGGCCTGCTCCCTCGGCAGTCACTTCCTCATACCTGCCCAAGGGTATTGATTCTTTCTTCCACTATGTGGGTACTGGATTGAACTCAGGCTGGTAGACTTGGCTGCAAGTACTTTCTCTCTGGCCCCAAGCTATGGGCTTTTAACTAGTTCTATTTATTCGTATTATCTGTAGAAATCTCACATCTTTAGTGCATGCATTTCTTGTTCAAATTGTTATTTTATGTTGCTGTACGTGAGGCATTTGGCTTTTTTTACCACACTGTTAGGTGTATAAGTCAGAGATCCAAGTTTTAGAATCTTAAAATGTGATGCTATTGTAATATTTGTTTTCCCCATTTTCTGGAAGGTTCATGGCTAACCATTTTTAAGTGCAGGAGAGAGTATAAAAACTAACTTCAGAAAGTTCAAATACCTGTTCTATTTATAAATATCTGTTCACACAGATATTATGAGCATCAAAGAAAACAGAAACAACAAAAGGAGAAAAAGGCAGCATGGTTTCACGGTCTTTACATTCCTAGGAGTTACCAGACAGCTCAGTGTAAATCTGCATGTTTACTGAGAGCTTGCACCATAGTTCATTGTTGCCTAACCCAAATTTGTTGACTTGGGTCTGTTGATGACACCGATGACTTGATGAAATATGTAGGACTATTTCCGTTTTTTAATATTTTATTATATGTTGACTGAATATTTGTGAAAATATTTGTTAGTTTTTTTGTGAAGATGTTAACTGGCATGCTATTGACATGATTTATATAGTTACATTTCTATGTGTATGTATTTGTTACTATGTGTTGTGAAATGTCCCCCATAGAGTCATGTGATTAAATACTTGATCATCAAGTGGTGGCAACGTTTGGGATTGTAGAAACTTTTAGGAGGCAGACTGAGTCTTTTTGGAAAAAACCGAGTCTTTGGATGTGGGTCTTGAGATTCTGTAACATGGCTCCACTTTCTGCTTACTCTTTGCTTCCTGTATAATGGAACCATCTGGTCTCCTGCTCCTGCCACCATGCCTTCCCTACTGTTCTAGACTGTAACCCTTGAACGATAAGCCGTATTACTTCTTCCTTAAGTTGCTCCTCGTCAGATATTTTGTCATAACAGCTGGAAAATAACAAAAATGCTGTGATTCCTGTTAATTCTTGTGGCCATGCTTTTACTACTGGTGCTTGTTTTATCAAGTTACCCTGAATACTGAAGTCGCAAATATAACCACTGCTCTCTGGAGAAATGCAGGGTCAGTTAATAAATAATTTTATTGATTGTATGTTTTCTTCATAAATACATTATTTAATATATCAAACTAACCCATGAATTATACATACCCACACTGAACTCATAGATAATTTCACTGTAACTTGTAACTGGAGTAAAGATTGAAATACTATATTTCCCCTCTCAGTGATATCATAGAATTTTATATTTAGGAAGTTTGGGCAGTTTTCAAGTACTATTCTTAGTACAACAAAGTCACCAAAAAATTAAATTAAAAACTCAAAACTACAAAATAAAACAAAAAAAGCCATGGTAACAAATAGATTGCATTGGTCCACTAATTTGCATAAGATTCAAATAAGAAACAGAAGGGAACTTGAGGTAAACCTAGCTGATAGTGCATCAGATTTCCTCTGTTTTTCTTTTAGTATTTTACTGGACATAAATGACCCAAAAACATGTGTTGATTTGGGAGTTACCAATAAATTATAGTAAGAAGATTCACTCATATAGAACACATGAACAATTAAGTATGAGTGTATTTTGGATATGTATGCTAACTTAAAGTGAACTAGTTATGATTTCATGTAATGATAAACGGAGATGAAGTTTAAATAATAAATGCCAATATAAAGCACAATAGCTAGCATTAGATCAGCCCAAATTGGCCAATGTCTGAACTAGATCCTGCCTGGTTGTACACCACGCAGCGTTTCCCCTCTTCTGCTCCTAGCCTCCCATTCTCTGTGCTACCATCAGTCTTGTTACCTGAGTCGTTTGTGCTCTCTTGGCTTTGAGGAGTCTAACAAGATCTGCTTTTCCTCTGCTTCCCAAGAGAGCTTTAAATATTTTGGGTGTCTCTTCTTTTGGTGGGAAAAGAAAGGCAGGTCCTGTCCTTGGAGGGGTTGCCCGTATGCTCTTCACATTCTCTCTTAAAAGAACTCTGGAGACAAGAGAACATTGTTTTGAGTAGCTCTGTGGCAGCTTTTAAGAATTCTCTCTGAAAAATGGTAATTTCTCCCACCCATGAATTTTCAGTGGGTACTCACTTTCAGTTGAGGAATATCTCACGAAGAATGTTGTAATTTACTTCATGTAACACAATTATCCTCATCTTAAATTTTATGGGGTAAAACAACTTTCTCCACTCCCTCCATATAGTGTCTCACTCTGTAGTTCAATCTGGCTTGGAACTTGGTTCAGTCCTCCTGTCTCAACCTTCCAAGTGCTGGGATTCTAAATGTGTACCACCACACCTGCTTCTACTGGGGCTTTATAGGTCATACCTGGCTTTCTTCAGGAGGAGTTTTTTAGAAGATGGATAATGCTGTAGAATTTCTTGAAGAGTCTTTTTGTCCAGAATTAAAAGATTGGCAAACCCATGGGCCACCACATCTGCAGTTCGACGGTTTCCTCCCCGTTTTGCCAGGAGGCTGTGGGATAGAAAAGCAGGTCTTTAGTAACCAGTTCACTCACCCTCCATCAATTTTCCTTTTAAATCTCAAACAAAAATTGCAAATTTAATTATTCAATTATACATTTTAAATATGGTATCACAAGGTAAATTCGTAAGGTGTAGACTTTCCTTCAACATAGTATGTTCTTCCCAATGGGAAATACAGAATCTTTGGCAAATGCTGTGTACTTTAGTCCATGGGTCATTTTAATTGTCAACTTGACACATTCTAGAATCACCTGGAAAAGGGAGTCTAAATGAGACATTGTCTAGTCAGGGTGTATCTTGCTTATGTTAATAGAGGTCAGAAGACTTGCCAATGGTGGCTGGCATCATTCTCTGAGCAGGGGATCCTGGACTGTATAAAGAGTAGAGAAAAAGAGCTGAACATTAGCATGCATGCATGTGTTCATTGCTCTCTGTTCTTTATTATAGATTTAATGTGACTAGTTGCTTTCAGTTTCTACTGCCTTAATTTCCCTGCAGTGGTGGACTGTTATGTAGAGTTGTGAACCAACACACCCTTTCTTTCTTAAGTGCTATTGTCAAGGTATATATCACAATAACAAGAAACAAAATGAAGAAAGCACTTTATTTTAAGCCCTCTGGACACTTAAGACACCACTTATTTTAGAAGAAGCATAATTATTCACCTCAGATATCAGAAAAGCTCTCTTCTCAAGAGAATTGTGGAAGATGGCTGTTGTGGTAGTTTGAATGTGATTGGCTCCATAATCTCAGAGTGAGTGGCACTATTAGGAGGTGTGACTTGGTTGGAGTGGCTATGGCCTTGTTTTTAAGAAGTGTGTCACTGTGGGATCAGGTTTGAGGTTTCCTGTGCTCAGTTGACTTCCTGTTGTTTGCAAGATGTAGGACTCCCAGCCACTACTATAGCTCCAAGTACATGCCGCCATGCTTCCTGATGATAATGGACTGAACCTCTGAAAGTGTAAGTGAGCCACTCACCCCAATTAAATGTTTTACTTTATAAGAGTTGTTGTGGTCATGGTGTCTCTTCACAGCAATAGAAACCCTAAGACAACTGTATCACATACTTTACATACTGAGAACTGTACTTTTAAAATAAATTTAAAATAAATACCAGTGAATTACAATCATTCATGCTCTGTATTCATCTGATTTCCTATTTGTGGGAAAACACTTTGTTAGAGCTTTATCCCTGCTGAGGAAGCTATATTTTCTTTAGTGCACCCCTTATAGTTTTTTTGTTTCATCTAAGGGATGGAAAGCAAAACAAGTCCTGTAAGATGGAGACTTAATCCTATGCTTTTAGATTATTTCCTTTCCTCTATACCTTATGTACTACATAGGACTCCTATGTAGTACTGATGACTTGCAATGGAAACAGATAACTCCTCTGAAGTGTGGTCATTAATGATGAAAAAGAGAGAGCACAAGAAAGAATGTGAAACTCTTGTCACCCACAGCTCTGATAAACATTTACCACAGCTCCTAGTCAGAGTAGCATAAAACTTGATGCTAAATGTTCATTTACCTCAGTTCCTATTACCTCATTCCTAGCTTTCAATAGAGACAATTACAAATTACATAACAAAACATTCATTAAAAAAAGGAGATGACACATGTTTTAGAATTCATAGACAGAATTTTAAAAACTCTGATTAATATGGTAAGGAATATAATGAAAAGAGAATCACTGAAGAATAAGTAACAAAAAACAGGTGAAAATTCTAAGAATCTAAAAGAAATACAAAAAATCAAAAATGCTATAACTGATATGAAAAATGTTTCTGATGGACTTGGAAACAAGTTGGCCTGAGAAAGAATCAATGAACCTGAAGATAATAGACACTCTCCATACTGATACACAGAGGAGCAAAGCAGAACTGAACTAGGAACACAAAGAACTAGGGATCATTTTGAAATATGGGACATACACATAACCAGAATACCAGAAGGACACAGAAGAAAAACAGTAAGCACATTTCAAGCATAATAATCAACAGTTTTCCAAAATTAATGACAAATACCAACCAGAGAAGTAGAGAGATTGGATAACTCCAGAGTAGATAATTAGTGCATCTCTATGCTGGCATTGGAGATGTTTTCATCTTTAGTAGGTGACTATTAATACAGAGACTCACAACTGGCCAATGTGCAGAGAATAACATATTATAGAGTGCACAGCTGTAAATGCATATAGCTTATCCCAAAATTTAGGGATCATCATGGCATCAAGAGGGGGCAGAAGGATTCTAAGAGATGGATGTAGTGGACATTTTTAGTGAAACTGTATTTGCAGACATGACAAATGCACGCATTAACCCATAGTGGCCATGATTGTATGAATAAGTCAGCAAAAAAAAAATCCTAGCATGAATGGTGGGATGGCTCATGAAGTTCCACTCCTAATTGAAGACCTACAGGCCACTGACAGCTGGTGATGGAGGGAGAGTCTTCAGGAGGCTAATCAGTCTCCAGCAGGTGGTCCCATACCCATGCCCATTAAGTGGATTCAGTTGACTTAAAATAGAGCACATGAAGTTGAGAGGGAGAAATGGAAAGGGGTTTAGGAAAAGGGTCAGAATCGGGGTTGACTTGATCTAAACAAGTAATGTACATGTATGAAATTCTTAAGCACTAAAAAAAGGAAAAGGAAAGATAACTATAACAAATAAATAAAAAACCCTCAACTACCCTTAAAGCATATTATATTCAAACTACAGGAAACCAAAGACAAACACAAAGAATAATCTTGAAAGAATGCTAAAGGGGGAAATACTTAAGCTACACATAGACCTGGACCACAGCAGATCTTTTTCTATAAACCAGTCTCCTCTCTAGACAGTGGAGTGCAATATTCAATGTGGAAAAAAGTCTATGACCTGTAACTCTATTTAGTGAAAGCATTCTTCAGAAATGAAGGAGAAACAAAGCTTACTCAAATGAAAAAAATTGAGGGAATCCATTCCTAGGAGACCTGCCCTGAAGAATATGTTCAAAGAATTGTCAAGAGAAAAAAATAGACCAGAAACTCAGGCCTACATAGCAAAGGAAAGAACACTGGGATAAGAGTAAATGAAGAGAAATAAAATATATTTCTCATGTTCTTATCTAGGAGATGATTAAGTGGCAACAGCAGTGTGTGCATGTGTGCATGTCTGTGTGTGTCTGTGTGTGTGTTTGTATGTCTGTGTGTGCGGTGGTAATTACAGAATATGGACAGATGAATGATAGTGTCCTGGGGTGAGGAGGGAGGAACTGTGCACTCTACACATGAAGTATTACCTGAAAGCAGACCTAGACCTAGCTTAAAATATACATGAAAACTTTAGGGAAAGATTACTGTTTTCAAAGTTTGTTTGTACTTTCATTTTGAGGTTGGGCATCACTGGGTAGCTGTGGCTGACTTCAAAACTGAGATACTCCTGCACTACCTCCTGAGTAGGGTTATAGGTATATGCCACTGTACCTTGCTAATAATAATTATTATGTTGAGAATGGAGAGAGAAATGAATCATGAAAAAATGTTCAACTGAAGTCGAGTTGGGTTGGCTACTTGGCACCTCCTATAATCTAAACACTTGGAAGACTGATGTAGGAGGATCAAGGATTCTAGAACAGCCTGGACTGTATAACAATTCACTATCAAAACAAAACAAAATAAATCTAAACAAAAACAAAACAAGAAACAAACATCAGAACAAAATAAAAAGGTGAGGAAGAGAACCTAATGCAAAGTTGGGCACTTCATCTAACATTGAGGATAGGGGCTGGGGAAGGGAAGCTGGGGCTCTCTAAACCACTGAATAATGAAATTACTCCTCCAAGACAGAATGCATGTATTTAGAATCCTTCAGTGTGACTGATTGTTTACTTTAGTCAACAACTGCTTTTCCAGAGAGGACAGAAGAAAGAAATTTTACTGCATCTATGTAAATATCTATGCAGCATTCTATGCATGCATGAGTGTATGTGTGATCTACACCTAGCTAGCTAGCTATCACCCATCACAGTATCTGTGAAAATCATCTTTTTAATAACTCATCTACCCTAATTTCTATCTGCCTTTCTATTTTTCTATTAAGTGGGAGAACATTGGTCAGATAAGGTAGTTTCATTCACACTCCTGTGATTTTTAATACAGAGTAATCAAGTAGTTAGACAGGACAAGATGTCATTGGGAAGTTTAATCTGAACCCCAGAGAACCTCAACGAGCATGCCAAACTATGTGTGAACGGAAATACCATATTTAAATGTCAGGCTATTTTGAGATTTCTCAAGCTTTAATTAAACTTGCATACAGGTTGCATGTTTGGAGTGCCTGATGAGTTTCTGAACGGAAGAAATAATAGTCTGCCTGCCAGATGGATTTTGCCCAAACTCTCTCAGCAATGTTTTAAATAGCATCTTTTTTCTCCTTTTATCCACAAAATGCTTCCCCAGCATTCCACTGGTGAAAAGTTTTACTCATTAAATTGCTTAGTAAGAAGGCCCCTCCCTCAGTGTCCACAGCTTCAAGTAGAGTTTCCCAAAGGCCCTGTGCCAGAGGACAAACAGTCGATGCTACAATTAAATGTGTCCAGGTTAAAAAGAAGCTTGTACTGGGCAATAGTCGAGGAAATGACTTCTGGTCCTGGACTCACTTGTTCCTGTGACCTTAGAGAGCTTAAGGGATTTTTTTTTGATTTTTCTCTTCATTCATGTGAAAAGGCTGCAGGATTAGGAACCAAACCATCACCTTATAAATCCATTTATGAACCCATTACTAATCACTTTTGCTGAAAACAGAAGCCTCTTTCTCTGCTACAGGAAGCTGATTATCCTTAAAAGACTGGCTTTTTGTGTTCTAGTGGTATTCAGATATGAAAGGGTTCAACTGGGCAAGACCTCTTTCTGAATTCTTAACCCTAGTTTGTGGTATGCAATTAGACATTCAGAGCTGGAGGCAGGAACCCAAGTAGTTCTGTGAACACATTGGAGAGACTGTGTTT